TCTCTCTCTCTCTCTCTCTCTCTCTCTCTCTCTCTCTCTCTCTCTCTCTCGCTCTCTCTATCGTTGTTTAAAAAACTGTATTAACGGAGGAGATTCATCTCTGACTAAGGTTATACATCAATGTTCGTGTAATAAAGTAAAACTATTTACATTTCTATCTTTATTTACTTTGTTTTTATATTCTCCAACATTCTAATTTTAGGCCGTTATATTTGTGGTACTGCCTGCAACTCAAGCTGACATCCAAGCCATCAAATATCCACAAAGTCTTGAAAAATGCCTAAAATCCTTTGGCGATGGCGAAGCTACACAAATTGTAGGAGAAAACCTGGCGTGCTTTTGCATTTCTACATTTGCTTTTCGCAACAAACAGAAGATCAAACCGCACGTGGCTAGCGAACAAGTACGTCAATACGTCGACAAGATGTCCCAAAACCCAACCAAAAGGAGGCGAAAACGAGGCACATTTTTACCACCAGGAAACCTGAGGTGAGAAAAATGTATTTAATCAACAAATCCTTTGACTCCAGACTATTAATACTGTAAATAGGTCGTAAACCCTACAAAACCAAACCAACCAAACACTACACTCCCGCCTTCATATAAAGATAGAGTTTAATAGGATGTTAACCCTATAAAACCAAACCAACCAAACACTGCGCTCCCGCCATCATATAACGTTAGATTTTAATAGGATGTTAAATTTTATAAAACTAAACCAACCAAACTCTACGCCCCTGCCTTCGTATAATGTTAGATTTTAATAGGATGTTAACCCTACAAAACCAAACCAACCAAACACTGCGCTCCCGCATTCATATAACGTTAGATTTTAATAGGATGTTAACCCTACAAAACCAAACCACCAAACACTGCGCTCCTGCCTTTGTATAACGTTAGATTTTAATAGGATGTTAAATTTTATAAAACTAAACCAACCAAACTCTACGCCCCCGCCTTCATATAACGTTAGATTTTAATAGGATGTTAACCCTATAAAACCAAACCAACCAAACAGTTGTGATAGTGATGAAAAAGAACTTAAAATATTAAAAAAAATACCACTTAAACAAATAGACCTATTCCGATCGCTTATCGTCTGTCATTCGTAAACATTTTAACATCATTTTTTGACTACATCTTACGCCCCGGTCAATAAATGGAAGGGTACAGTGTAACATAAGATGAATTACAGACAAAAATATTCTCATTTAATCCACAATCCACCATATTAAATATATTGTTTGGAGTTTGATGGAACAGAAGAAGCCGAAAATTGTTTTTACTTCATATCAGTGTCATACCTTCTGATAGAGGGCGTTGAAGTCGGGTATCGCACTTACTGGGTGTGCGGAATGTGACTGTCGAAATTCAGCAATAGTCGCACCGACAGTAAACATGGTGTTTTATTGAAAAAAGTACACCTTTGTTTTAAAGAATTTTATAAATTCATAATGAATTGATATCATGTTTTGACGTGAATTCATGATGTAGGTACGAAAATGTGAGAAATGTGAGCGAGTTTGATCTGTAAATACTGATGGCGATTATGCGCTCCATACAATAAATAAACAACTTAATTGTTATTTTGGTGTTGTTTTGGTTTCTGTCAGAGGGTGTGGTAATGAAGGGAATTATCGGTTACATGACAAGTAATGTTTGTTTCATGATTTCATGCTTTACATGATTGTTCCGTGTTATCGTTAAGCAATTCTCGTGTCGAGCTCCGGCAGAATCTTGAGCTTGATTTGGTTTGGTTTTATGGGATCTAACGTCCTCCCCACAGCGAAGGTCATTTAAGGACGTGTGTGTGCATGCAGGTGTGTGTTTGTGTATGTGTGTGTGTGTGTGTGTGTGTGTGTGCTGGAGGCGGTATGTTTGTACAGTTGCCTCCTTGTGATAACGATCTGATCTGTAATCAGTTGCCGACTTTATAGTGCTATCTCACTGAAACGCCATGCCAAAGTCACCCAGTACAGCGTTCCTCCGGGTCATATTATACTGACAACAGGTGGGCCAGTTGTTAACCTTTTCCCAAATGCTGAACGATAGGCAGGGATATAACAACCTGAGTTTATTGACTCTGGTATATACCAGCTTTGGGACAGAACCCATGCATTGGTTTCCGCGCCTGGGCGAACGTTCAACATTAAAGCCAAAAGTGAGGTGTTGCCAAGTAAGGCGCTAGGAAATAAAAGGTAGTCAGAAGTAGAAAGAAATATAATAATCTTGGGTTTTCTGCTCGTCTGCGGAAAAAACCCCCAAAAAAACAATGTATATCGTCTGCCCACAATGCATCATCTTATGATCATCTTATGATCTTTATCTTTATCTTCTCTCTTCACTGCCATATTTACAGAATTTCTAATTGGAACCACATTTAAATGTTCCTTCACTTTATCTGAGGATGTGACGTCATGTCGTAATAACTGGACACAAGTAAATCAGGCTGCTACAGCAGCTCAGACCCTTAGCCAGAAGATAGCAAACGGCCACGTTCTGATTTTAGATCTTCAATTGCAAATTATTTTTTAAATAAATTGGCAACATAAATGATAAGAGGATGTTAATAATTAGATGTTTTCAGTTTAATGTAATATATTCCACGAGCAATAGATACATATGGCGGAGATAAAGTTGTCCTCTCGCGAGATCATACCTACAACACACTAGCTTACACTGCACAAGGTCAAACCGAACCTTGTAACCAGCCATTTACTGTCAAACACTTTATGATCGAGGTGATGTTTGATTCGATTTGATTTGATTATACTTAACTTCCTGTTAACAGCTCAGGTCATTTAAAGACATACATCTACATGTGTTATGCAAGCGTGCTTATGTTAGAATGTGCCGATGTTACACAAAAATGTGAAATATTCCTGTAGTTTAAAAATTGATATGTTCAATTGAGTGAGCGCCTTTTTAGTGACTTAGAAACCGAGTGAAACCTTGAAAATATATATTACTTCCTTCAGGATACGCAAGGAATACCGGATGTTGAGCGAACGAGAGCGGGAAAACTATCATAACTGCATGAATCAACTGAAGAGACCTAATGTAAGTGTTATTTTTAAATGAAAGAGTTTACCTACTGTTACAATGTAACATTATATATTACCCTACTTATTGTTACAATGTAACATTATGTATTACCCTACTTACTGTTACAATGTAACATTATATATTACCCTACTGTTACAATGTAACATTATATATTACCCTACTTACTGTTACAATGTAACATTAAAGGTTACCCTACTTACTGTACAATGTAACATTATATATTACCCTACTGTTACAATGTAACATTATATATTACCCTACTGTTACAATGTAACATTATATATTACCCTACTTACTGTTACAATGTAACATTAAAGGTTACCCTACTTACTGTACAATGTAACATTATATATTACCCTACTGTTACAATGTAACATTATGTATTACACTACTTACTGTTACAATGTAACATTAAAGATTACCCTACTGTTACAACGTAACATTATAGATTATCCTACTTACTCTTATAATGCAACATTATAGATTACCCTACTTACTGTTATAATGTAACATTAAAGATTACCCTACTGTAACAATGTAACATTATAGATTACCCTACTGTTACAATGTAACATTATATATTACCCTACTGTTACAACGTAACATTTTAGATTACACGTCTGTTACAACGTAACATTATAGATTACCCTACTGTTACAACGTAACATTATATATTACCCTACTGTTACAACGTAACATTATATATTACCCTACTGTTACAGTGTAACATTATAGATTACTCTACCTACTGTTACAACGTAACATTGTATATTACCCTACTGTAACAATGTAACATTATAGGTTACCCTACTGTTACAATGCAACATTATAGATTACTCTTATGTTACAAAATAACATTATAGATTACCCTACCTAGTGTTACAACGTAACATATGTAACATTAAAGATTACACTACTGTTACAACGTTACATTATATATTACCCTACTGTTACAATGTAACATTATAGATTACCCTACCTACTGTTACAACGTAACATTATAAATTACCCTACTGTTACAACGTAACATTATAGATTACTCTTTTGTTACAAAATAACATTATAGATTACCCTACTGTTACAACGTTACATTATATATTACCCTACTTACTGTTACAATGTAAAATTAAAGATTACCCTACTTACTGTTACAATGTAACATTAAAGATTACCCTACTGTGACAATGTAACATTAAAGATTACCCTACTGTTATAATGTAACATTATATATTACCCTACTTACTGTTACAACGTTACATTATATATTACCCTACTGTTACAATCTGACATTAAAGATTACCCTACTGTTACGGTGTAACATTATAAATTACCCTACTGTTATATTGTAACATTATATACTACCCAACTATTACAAAATAACATTATAGATTACCCGTCTGTTACAATGTGACATTATCGATTACCCTTCTTTCGTAATGTAACATTATAGATTACCCTGCTGTTACAAAGTAACATTATATATAACCCTACTTACTGTAACAATGTAACATTAAAGATTACCCTACTGTTACAATGTAACATTATAGATTACCCGTCTGTTACAGTGTTACATTACAGATTACCTTACTGTTATAATGTAACATTATAGATTACCCGGCTGTTACAATATAACATTATAGATTACCCTACTGTTACAGTGTAACATTATAGATTACCCTACTGTTATATTGTAACATTATATACTACCCAACTATTACAAAATAACATTATAGATTACCCGTCTGTTACAACGTAACAATATATATTACCCTACTGTAACAATGTAACACTATAGATTACCCGTCTGTTATTATGTAACATTATCGATTACCCGTCTTTTACAACGTCACTTTATAGATTACCCGTCTGTTTTAATGTACGTTGTAGATTACCCTACTGTTGCAATGTAACATTATAGATTATACCCTTCTGTTACAGTGTTACATTCTAGATTACCCTACTGGTATAATGTAACATTATAGATTACCCTACTGTCATAATGAAACATTATAGATTACCCGTCTGTTACAATGTAACATTAAAGATAACCCTTTTGTTATGGTGTTTTCTACAAAGAAAAAATTGAAGAGACCATAGGTGCTCGTCGCCTTATGACATTGAATACCCAATAGCAGGACGTTAATCACTTACAAGAACCCATACTATAGCTAGGAATATATGTGGTCAGTAACAAGATATGAATAAGGATTTCCAAATTGTTCAAACGAATAATCCTGAATTATATTCGAACTCACAGGGGTCAAATATTAATTATTATTTTTTAGAAAATCTGAATTTCCTTCTGAATAACCAGAACACATATGATAACCCTGCCTCCCAAATACACATGCACGCATACATAACACACAGTGAGGCACATTCTTATGAAGCATTATCTGTTAATCGGACGTTGAACAAAATGAAATAAAAAAAATCGAAGGCAACCTCAAAGCATTCCGTCCGGTCACATTATACTGGCAACGGGTTAACCATTTGTTGCTAATACTTGCGAACGTTCAACATGAAAGCCAAATGTGAGGTGTTGCCAAAAGGCTCTAGGAAATAAAAGGTAGTTAGAAGATGAAAGGAATATAAAGATGCCAAATATTGCAATGGGTTCAGCAGATTAGTTTTTGTCGCGTTTGTGTCCCCAGATAGAGAGCACAAAATAAAATACTAAACGCTGCAGGGGTTCCCACATTAGCCCCCGTTTACGATACATGTAGTGGGTAATAGCAGGTATATACCTTTCTCGATCCCCGACCTACAGGGGTGTCTTCTAGAAGTACCCTTAAGACACCACGTTGATCTGCTGCGCCGACCCAAAACATTGGAGATCTTCCTGGCGATGTCTCCCTGGGCATCCGTCGTCGTGTGACTTGCTGTTAACCATGAACCACATAACTTTTAACCACAGTCCAACAAATAGAACGTTAGCTTATCACTATTTTGACGCGAGGTTATTGTCCATTTCGGACGCCAGAGTGTATTGAACGTTATATATTTAAATTTGCATGGCATTGTCACTATATAGCCTCTTTGAAAGCTGTGTCGTTGATGGGACTTTAATTACCATGCAGCACGAGACACAATTCTTAGCGTATTAATACAACACTGACTGGAACTACAATATCCAATGTATCGCTGGACATTTCACGTGAGATTTGACAGTGTCATTGTAAATTTATATGCAAAAGAAAAAAGTAAATACAACAAAAACAAGACCAAGGTCTGCAATATCGTACAAAATGCACATCGGTTGAAATCACCAATGACGGCAATGAAAACGATTTTAAGACTCATGCAATATATCAGAAATGTCCTCTGTTACACTGCAATGATCAACAGGGGTTCGTTACAAAGGTCTAAAATACACATATTATATATACCTACTGACACAATGCTACAGACCTACTGATATGAGTCACAGCACACATTAACATTTCAGACATTTGTAACGAACCCCTGTGCTCCGTCGCAAGATCACTTACCATCAGTTCCACGCGTCTCGCAGCCACGGTTTCCCCAGTTTCTGATCACGACATGTCAAATAACGAGGCTGTTATAGAATCTACCGACTGTAGTCAGATTCCCATACAATCAACAAATAAATTCACGTCTGGATTCTCCACAAAATGAGCAAAGAGAAACTTTCAAATTAACTTCCAAAAATAACTCCCTCGTGGAGGTCAAGGTCTGATTCCCGATGTTCACTGTATTTATCCATGCGCGAAATTTGTTCCGGAGGAAAATTGGAACAATTTATAATCTAACTTTCAGCTCTGATTTCTATTAATAAACTTAAATCACCCTATAGACATATCATACGTAATTGTATTGATACTGATTTGTGGAATAAAATTGAAGTGTTTGTTAAAATTTCAAAGTACTACTTTGTTTGCCAATCAGCACGCGACAATACGCTGTTCAAATTATTGAACGAAATTGTGTGGACTGTCGATAAGGCGGGCACTTTTAATTTTAAATATAAATAATAAGTTAAAAAAAGAACATAAGAGGAAGAGAAAACGTAAATATAAGTATTGAATTGTTTTGTATGGTATTTATGATCTATTTGAATGACACAGCTTTGCAAGCAATCACAATAATGGGCGCTAAATAAACCATTACTGTATTAAAGATTATGATAATCCTGCGAGATCCTTCATCAAACACATACATGTAGTTACATTTTTACGTGACCTTATTGTTATGTATAAGATCACCATTTACCGTCAAACATTATATGATGGAATGCAGTGATTTCAAACAAATACATGACAGACAGTTAAATGGACTATCAGACTGTTTAATGGACTATCTTGAAGTATATTTGATAATGTTTCTGTACATTTATACACGATTATGTACACTCGATTTATCTTCACAATACGATAAGATATGTTGAAACCAATTCGATTGATATTGTTGTAGTTTAACATCTATTAAATCGTTTAACCTTATTGTTTTAAGCTTTTCTTATTTTGTTAATGTCTTTTTACAGTCTTGTTAAATGACTAAAATTGTTAACTGCTGTCACACAAAACAAAACCAAGTCTGTCGCTTCTCCGATATATGTCAAAGTACTTAAATATGATAGTTGTTATTTCTTGCTTAACTTTCAAAGTTGAGGGTAATCACAATAACTCGTAACGTCGTTGTCAGCTCGATGTAACAGGGTAGAATACTGTGCTGGGTGCCGTTGGCTCGTTCCAGGTGAGGTAGCACTCTTTAATTCGTTATTAGATCTGCGCTATTACAAGGCGGTAAATACACCAACTCGTTAACATGACACACATAGCAGGTCATCGTAAAATAATCTTTGCTGATAATGTGACTTTTAATAAAGTAAAATCGAGCTGACTCCAGTTGCTGTGTTGACACATATTCCTGAACTATCCATCAATGTATAGAAGACACACTATGTAACCACTACACATATAATGTGTTGTATGTGTCATGTTTCTATCTGTCAGATAATTTATTTTCATTACAGAACAACGGCTTCTCTAGATATGACGAACTAGCTAGTATACATAGTGGAAACATTAACGCTCACGGAGGCGTTAACTTCCTTGCATGGCACAGAGTCTATCTTTGGACGTAAGTAATAATTGATTTCATCAGTTATCAATATTCACTAGAATGATTAGGGGCTTTTCACCAACAGGTGAAAATACCTATTGTTTTTGTTGTTGTTGTTGTTCTTCTTATTCCTCGAGATCTTGCGATCAACTTTCCTTCTAAATGGTAATAGGTATGTACATGATATTTTGCCAGGTTGTAGGTAATTGTTTGGAGATGTCATGGACAAATTGTCAAGTTGATCTAGAATTCAATATGGCCGCCATGACCTATAAAGGGATTTATTTTTACCTTTTTTTAAACAGCCATATCTCATTAACTATAAATGGTACTGTATTTATAATTTAATATACTACTAGAGTGTGGTCGGGGCTAAATATGGCCCATGCCATGTAATGAGGAAAAAGGTCAAGTTTAAGTTCTCGACATGGGGTCAAAAGTCACCTATTTTCAAAACTTTTTAACTTTTTTTTTAACTTTTTTTTTTAATCGATAGTATTTGGCTATCCGATAAATTTATATATTTATTGTTTCTGAAACATTTCCTTTTAACGTCATATGACGTGTTCATTATTGCCTTTGATCTTTTTGATCGACAATAGCCGACAGTAGTTTAACAAACTTCAACTATCTTCTTCTCCAATTCTGCCATTGTTATATTAACCCAAACTGGTACTTGTATTCCTCTGGGGGCCCTTACGAACTTATGTTTCTTTTTGGAGCTATTGATATTCTAAGATGGCCGCCACGAACTCTGATTGGTTAACAGCCTATACCAATATATTTCGTTAACGATATCAAAGATTGATCTTTGTATATCATATAGAGAGAAAGGGCAAACTTTTTCTATCATATTGTTTTAGCAAAAAATGTCAGCTTCCGGTTTTCGGTAGGGGTCAAAGTTCAAATGAGATATATTGGCTAACAAATTTTTAAAAACCTCTTCTCTACGAGGTGTAGAGTCTTGATATTTAATATGTAAGATGCTGAGATGTCCAGCTATCAAGTGTGTGCAAATGAACGACCTTGACCTATCCTAAATATAATTTCAAAAGTAAAAGTCAAAAACCGTTTTTATTTATGTGCGTTTTTGCCGTTTTCTCAGTACTCAGTACTCTGACTACTTTGATTTATATTTAGACACACAAAAAAGCAGATTATATTGGACAATCATTTTCTATGCTACCAAGAAGCAAAGAGCAATATTTTTGAAGCAGAATCATAGTGGAAAGATGGGTTGTAGGTCATAGGGGTCGAAAATGTTGTTCTTATTATAAAGGCTTTTCACCATCAGATTCGTGATATTTTGGCATCAAAATCATTTGACTGGTAGCAGACATGTTCAAAGTCGTTCAGGTATATTGTAGGCCATGATTTAAAGATATTATTGCAACATTTTCAAGTACGACAAAAAGCCAATATGGCTGCCATGACGTCATATGTCAAAATCATAAAACTGCTATAACTGACAAACTGTTTATTATACAGCATTTATGCCCGATATTCTTTTCAGATATTGCTTGTGGCTAACTTTTTCTCATAAAATAATATCGAAAAAATTTTCAATTAAAATTCTCCCTATCGGGTCAAAGGCCATACATTTTTCAACTTTTTCTCTTTTTTTTTTAACTTTAGAAAAATATATGTTTGCAGTCAATGTGGAATACCATCCCAATGAATTAGCTGTGTTTAGTTTTTCTGTAACGTTAACCGTTCATGTTCTATGCTATTTTGCATATTTACTTTGATCTCATTATGGGATCAAAGTTCAAATGTGCTATATTGTGTAAAACATTCTAAGATCTTCTTCTCCAATTTTGCCAGTGCAATATTAACCAAAATTGATACATGTGTTACTCGGGAAGACCTGACGAACTAATGGGGTTTTTTCGGAGTGATTACAAATCAAGATGGCCGCCAGGGGCTCTGATTGGTTAGTAGCTTTTACCAATATATTTTGTTAACAAATTCAAACACAATATTTATCTTTTAAGGAGGCTCCACCCTTTCGCAATTAGCCAGCAGAATCCAATGAAAGTTTCACATAATGGTTATGTTATTATGCAGAGATGATTTTATGAAATTCTAAGTATTCCGATAAACCAATATTAAGCAAAAAGAAATAACCAAAATTAGTACATGCATTCCTGTGGGGGCCCTAACGAACTTATGTTAATTTTTGGAGCAATGCAAATTCCAACATGGCCGCCACGAGCTCTGATTGGGTAACAGCCTATACCAATGTGTTTCGTTAACGATTGGAGGCACAAAATTGATCTTTGGATATCAAGAAATTAGCGAGGGAAAACTTTTCCTTTCATATTATTTTACCAAAAATGTCAACTTTCAGTTTTTGTATAGGTGTCAAAGTTTGGATTTGTAACATTAGGGTTATAGTCTGTATCGATCTTCTCCAATTCTACCAAGCCAATATTAACCAAAGTGGTACAAATATTTCTCTTCGGCTCCTTAAGAACAGCACGAAGTCATATGAGGTAATCTTATACAATGTATTATGATATATGGGTAAAAGTTTAATATGAATAGATAGTGCAATGTGCAGTCTCCTGTACAAAATGAGCTAACTGAAAGAAATCTTAATACGAGTTATCTCCCTTTGTATTCTTTATTTAGACCTCTATGAAAAGCCCGTCAAATTGTGTTTTATTTTTGTGCCAATAATATTGTGTTTCCGCGTCAAGCTTCTTATGTTTGTTAACAGTATGCTATTCTCCTAAATAGTGCCGTTTCTCGTAAAGGGTTTCTGTTTTTATATTGTATATATCAAATATATCTTACTTCAGAGAGACAAGTGCAGTCCTTCTTAATAATTATTTTTTTTTTTTTTTTTTAAGTTTTCAAAATTCAAAGCGTTAATTGTTCACTCCTGCCAACTAAAACTCACTAACGATATCTATTTACAATTCGATATGACCGTCATTACGTTATATGTCAAATCCAAAAGGCCATAGCTAAAAAAATGATTACACGGCATTCTTGCATTTTATGAACTTCTAGATATATAGGGCTAACTTTTGTCATAACATATTATTTGAAGAAAGGTCAAATTAAACTGCTCGCTGTTGGGTCAAAGGTAACTGATTCTTTAACTTTTCATTAAAAAAAATCAAAAGAAATCCTTTGAGTTCGATTGGGAATTCCATCACATTTTAATTAGTCCCTGCACACTTGTATATATATATATATATATATATATTTATATATATTGAATCCGCCTGAAGAAGCCCTAGAAGGCAGAAAGGCCTAGCGGACGATCTGAAAAATTTGTTTTTATTCTATATTTTCCTTCGCAAGGACTTATTTATTTATTATCTACTATATATTTATATATATACTCCACTATCTACTATATGGGAACTGTGCATGCTGTATATATACAACTCACATTTTGCTGAGGATCACCTGTATTTTAAAAATATCAAAACGTTAGAAAGGATGTTATATTTTCCTTCCGTACTGTTTTGGGCGAATTTGTAAGCCTTCCTAATCGTCCTGTGTGGGTGTGTTTTGTCAACCATAAAAGCGCGTGCACGCTTTTCCACGTGTACACCCCTCTCAAAAGGTAAGCTAGGCTAAGTAAGGCGTTGCTAAAATTGTTAAAGAAATCAACTTGATGAATATTATTTTAATATGGCTCAAAGACGAACCAGACAACGGTTAAATGACGTTTTGAAGCTGTAATTGATGCTCTTGGGTGTCACACGCGGTACTTTAACGGTTTCTGTTTAAGTAGGAGAGTTTTGTTCAATTTAAGTTTTTTAGTGAATACCTCGTTGTTACCAATTTTAAGGGTAACCCTTTTCCTGTTGCTCATTTTCCGTATCGTCCGACTTCGTCCGTCGTCCGTTAACATTTTACATTTTCAACTTAAGCTGAAATACTGGCAAAGGGATTTCATTAATATTTCATGACTGTAATTACGATTTTTGGAATTTTTGCATGTTGATGAATTAAAAGAACAATCATTTTTTCAAAAATAAACTCAGTATAAACCATATTTTCAAATACGCCCAAAAATAAAAATGAACATGAGCAAAATGTGAGTAGTATAGTATAGCCTGTGTGACTCTGTAGCGAACTGTACATAACCCGTAACCTTTTCCAGAACTAAAATAAACACCCAGACAACCACTCGAATAGAGAATATTTCCACCTCCGCGACAAAACTCGGTGTGCTCCTAGGAAAGAGGCATGTTTCACTATACAGATTACAGAATTAGTCTTCGTCCAGGGCCTTTCGGCCATCCGTCCATAAACAAATTTTTTAGCGCTAAATGTATGAAAGCACGTGGCTAATCTTTGTCCAATTTCACAGGAATGCTCCTCTTCGTCCCTTTTAGGAAGTTCGGAGACTGATGAGAAACCAGGATGGCACTCAGACAGTCATCTTGAATTTTGAGATTTAAAGTTTATTAGCACTTTTCTCAGACAGTATCGGAGGGATCTTTCTCAAATTTTACATGAAAGTGACACTGGGGTCCTACTTCGGCATAATGAGTGTTTGGACTGACAGGATGGTCACCGACCAGCCATCCTTGAAGTCTGACATTCCAATTGTTTAATCACTATTTTATATGTGTGATCCCCGTATTCCCTTAACCCTAATGAGCATGTATCTGTTATTGACAACACTTCTCATTTTTTCGCATTTTGCATAATATCTGTAATAGTAGCAACCCACATGCGACAATACAAGGTCTAAGTTTATGAACAAAATTATTACCATTTAAAATTTCCAACATTGGTTTGTTTTTTGTTTTATTTTGTTTAACGTCCTATACACCATCATATCCTGTCTCAGGCACACATACATGCTTCCGCAACACACATGGAGGCACGTTCTTAAATAACCTTAGTTGTTTATAGGACACTTTACAAAATAAAACCAAACCAAACAGCTAAGATCATTTACAATGTAAAGACGTGCCTCTATGTGTGTTGTGTATGTTATTTTTTCCGTGTTGTCGCTTTGGTATATATCATCCTTCCGTGTTGACGCTT